GCAAAAAGAAAATCATCGTGCTCAATTTCTTATCCCTATGGAAAAGGGAGACTACGGGTGAATAATAGAGGATGACGGAGTTGTATTTACATACAATCCCCCTGTAAATGGAGATTGCCAATTTGCAGCTTTGGCACATCAGTTAAGTGGTCTTGGCATCTTAAGGTCTCCTGAAACTTTGAGAGACGAGACAGTGGAATACCTGGAAAGTAATCCCCTCGATCACGATGGATTCCCGCTGGTAGAACTGGTCCCGGAATACGAAACTTGGGGCGATTACCTTTTATACATGATGCAGAACCAGACGTTTGGGGATCAGCTTCCTCTATATGCAGCAGCAAATCGGCATAACGTCAACGTCCACGCTATCTCTTCTCTTGGTGTTGGGGCTAATCACACATTTAGCCCCTCATCCAGTATCCCTCTTACCACCGTCTATCTTGGCCACCTCGCTGAAAATTACGGGGAACATTATGTCATCTCTACCCCGAGTGTTCAAAACAGTGTCGGTGGCTGTAATGACTTCATTGAGGATGAGGATGATGGTGGTGATGCCATAATTGACAATGACAGACTTAATGTTGCTGATGTTGCTGACGATGTTGTGGAGAACGTATCACGTGATTCAGATGACGCCATTGTCGATGGAGTTCAAGGCACAGAGATTCACAAGATCAGTAATGTTTGAACAATGAAGTTTTAGAGATATTATCAAACTAACTTTATGTAACTTTCCTTTTATGAGAGATAACCTAAAAAGTGTGAAATGATTGTTTAGATCAACAGTTGATAAGGTGCCATGTCCCACAGTATACATACCAGAGCTCCCTGATCACGCTACGGTTATCAGCATGCGGAAAATCGTAATGCTAAAAGGGAGAGGAAGTGGTGCTGTTGTACGCTTGCAGTAAGCAATAAGATAATGGCACCAGGTATGGCTTAAGTTAGAGCCACAACTGTTGGAAAGGTTCTTCATAACGAGCATACACTGGAAGCATGCATAGACTCAGGAAAATTAGCATACCTCCACTCTTTTACTGTTGTAGTACAAAGGACGCACATGCTCCTTTTTTTTTTACGTTAATCAATATAGTTCTGTTACTTTTGCTGTGTTTGTGTTCTTTATCTTGTCACGGTATCTCAGGTTTAGAGGGTCATTTTGGTTTGGACAATAAATCACAAGATTATGGTCAGTTTTTGTCTTTTGTTGCTACACATGATACATTTTTTCACTATTGCCAAGAAAAGGTGTTATGCGTTAATCAGCAAAGTAAGTCTAAACATTTAGAGCGTTGAAGTTTTTAGTTGAGCTTGAAAAACTCTGTTAGAATGACACCATCCGTTCAAAAATAAATACACTAACTACAGTACCGGCATTCTTTAACCGATTCCCGAAACTGACCAAAACTGTCCGAGAGAGTATCGCCATCTGCTTTTACGCCAGAAAGTGATGAAAACTGAGTTCGGAGACTTCCGATAACGCCGGCATGCCTGGATACACCCAATACGAAATTTTAGCATTTTTTTCGCCTAAAATCGAACAAAAGTTACCTTACTTTATCACTGACTCAAACTGTCGCTTCCTTCGGCATTTGTTTAGATTACTACATTTGAGGCTAACTGTTATTACATTTGGAGACAGTCATTACCTTTGAGGCTAACTGTGATTACATTTGGAGACAGTTATTACATTTGAGGCTAACTGTTATTACATTTGGAGACAGTCATTACATTTGAGGCCAACTGTTATTACATGTATTTGGATCCATTCATTACATTTGAGGCCAACTGTTACTACATTTGGAGACAGTTATTACATTTGAGGCTAACTGTTATTACATTTGGAGACAGTTATTACATTTGAGGCTAACTGTTATTATATTTGGTTACATTAGTGTTACTTATTATCATATGTCAACTTTGAGGATAAGATGAGAAACTTGCATTAAATTTGTTGATTCAATGTGTAGGCAATTCTCTAAACTTCAATTAACAAATGGTAAACACCACAGCGTACACTATTGAGTTAAGGATGCACGCGGGAGGTTGCTAAGCACGAAAGAAGTGTAAGAGTCGCTCGAGGCGATAGCCGAGAGCGACTCTAGCTTCT